CTTCTAAAAAGACCAGTAGATTCAAGAAAGCAGTGAGAAAAACTGAGAAAGAGAAAAATATTACCCATATCTTGAAAGTGTTGAAAGAACCTTCATGGTTGAGGTTTCATCTTATTTCAACATATGCAGGACAGAACAACAAATTTAGTCTTCACTTGCAAACACTGTCCCTCCACGTCTTTTCCCTTTATATACACACGCACTGTCCTGAATATCAGCTAAGAATAATTTACAAATAAAACACCGTCTTCAAATTTCCATATCATTGACTTACTCACTTCTTTCACTAAATATGTTCCTTGTAAGAAATTAGAAACTGAGGTGTCAAATGATTAAAAAATAGAAAGAATTGTACAAACTAAAAGATGTTATACATAAGACCTTACTTCTTAATATTGTCCCTCGTGATCAAAAGATGTTAGAATCAGAGTCATGGTGCTGGGAAGGGGCCTCGTATTTGATGAATCAGCTGCCAGAATTAGAAATTAAATACTTGTTCATGCTCTAGAATTAGAAATTATAAATTCTCTTCAAGGGATTTTGTTGAACACCTTGAGTGCAAACTTTTGTGATAGGATCTAGGATTGATTCAGAACCATTCAAAGCATCAAGGATAGTTGGAATCATCAACTATATAAGTAGAAGTAAGATTTATGGATTTACCAAAGACATCCATCGCAAACAAAATACAAATTGGAATTGGACAGATATGGTAAAATGTTTACGGTATGAAGTTGGAGAACCTTGGTGGAGAAATTGAGCAATTGCTTCTCTCTTGAGCAATTAGTATAGAACCTTGGTGGAGAAGATTCAGCTAATGCTTCACTGTGAACTTCGTTAGTGTGCATTTTGGCCTAAAGTGATTGCCAATTGATGGACTGGTTGGATCCAAGAGAAGCTATTTCCATTTCTGTGCCAATCCTAACTGTCAGTATTGGCCATAAATTACTGCTTGGTCATTAATGAGTCCTTTTTTGTAAATGATAAAACCATTAAACTGTGCCAAAGCAATGTGGTCTCAAAAACAACCCCTTACTAAGATAAGTTTACAGTTGCTCAGACTTGTTATCTATAAAAAAGAATTCAAACCATTTGTTATTTGAGAAGCCTAGTTGTTAAGAAAATTTATTCAAAAAAAAAGAATTGGAGAGGAAAAGTTACGCCTATTGTATTACCTTTTCTGATCCTTCCTGAAGAGGGATGCCTTCTCTACCAACAATATTTGAGTCTTTTCGAACCACCTACATAGGAGGAAACTGTAGCTTCACGGTCCATCAACTTCATTTCTCTCTTTTGCTCATTCATTGACTGAGAAAAATAACAACACCCAAAGAATAACTACATGAAAATGAAGGTTTGAAGACACATTATTCATCAATAACATGATTAAAACTAGGATTCATCAATAACATAATTCAAACCTTCACTGCAGATATGCCAATGCAGCCTTCCCAAACAGAACCTAGACTACAAACAATTTCAGGCACATTCATAGTATACTCGCGGTAACCTATCAAAATAAGAACAAATAAATTGACAGTGTAACACTAATTTAAATTACCCCACTCTATTTGCTCTTGATCTTAGGTAAGCTTATGTAATACACTCAAAACTGTAGATTGATGCATTCAAATAAAGATAATTATTAGAGAATAATTGAAATATCAAGTGCAAAAATATATAAAGTTACATATATACCACAAAGTATGAAAGAATTTTTTAAAAATTGAATAAAACTCGAATAGAAAGCATTACCTTGCTACCACGTTGAAAGAAGAAGAAGACCAGTAGATCTACTCGCTGATGCGGGTGATGTTGCTCCCCAAGAATTAACCTTACAGTTTCTACATTCTTAGCATCTCTAAAAGAAGAACGGTCTGTTTACACACAATCACCGAAGAGGAAGATCTTTGCCCCCACTGCGTTTCCAGGACGGGGTTGTGGACAGTTCACATGAGTGGAAATATTCACAAAGTACATAGACAATGAGGCGATCACAACGCGTAAAATACTATTTCCAATCTGCATCAATGAACCCCGCGTCTTTCATCTCCGAATAGTATGCCTCCTCCAAAAGCCAATCTTCTTCCTAAATTGTTTGTTGCCCCCAAATAGAACAACGATTAGTATAGAGGTGAGTCAAGTGACAGATGAAGCTCAAAGTGGATATAAGAATGTCATTCTTCATTGGGAAGAAAAAAATTAGATCATTGTACCTACCTGAAAGAAGTCGGCTAAAAACACGGCATATATAAGGGGAGATACAGTGAGTGGTAGCCAATTACACCCAAATCATTAAACCTTCACCGTTAGCCTTTCATGCCATGTTAGATAATAGATACTTAGAAGCAATGTTAGATATGCTCGGATGTAAAATTCTAGAAATGAAATATGTGATACCAGAGACCAAAGCCAATCCCAAATCCAGCAAGCCAGGTGGTGTTGCGAGCGTAGCCCAGCTCTGCCACCCGTAGGAAGTGCATCAAAGGGATTAAAGAGATTGAAACAAAGAAATGCACCTCTTATTTAGCATGTCAATCACCACCAAGTTGTGCCCTTAGCTATTCTTAATTTGAGAGTTTCTATATGAATTTGATGAAAAAAAATAGAAATGTACCGTAGCCGCCGGGCCAATGTTGAGAAAGATGAAGAATTGTTGATTGTACTCCTGCAACCACGACGTTCACCTTTACCTCTCCCTCAAGATGCGCTCTTCCTAAAGGTCTGCCCGTCATCTCTGTTTTCATTCTGGTCGATAGAGTACTCCCTCTCTTTTCCCTCTCCGATCTGCGCTGTGTGAAGCGCGGCTGCCAGAAGAAGCCTTCGACAATACCCTTCTTCTAATAGTTGTTTCCAATGGATGTACGAAGCTGGAAATCTTCTCCCATATCTCCATAGGACCAAACCCCCACAACCCTCTTAGTCTAAAAGCTGTACCCTACGATTTTCTTGCACACAACCACATGAATATACAGAATCTGCAAATCCTCATTCAACCCAGAGGACCTTATGGAATTCCCCACAGTCACTCTCACCCCCGTCTCCCTCCTCGTTTCTGAAATTAAATCGTCCAGAACCACAAACCGACGCAATTTCCATAATGATTCATGGGTGTTGTTGCTGAACTCCCAGATTCGGAACCCGTGTTCATCCGGGTCACAAAGATTCAGTTTGCCCTCCGATTCCCATAGCGAGCGGTGGCAGGGATTGTGGTATGAATATGATGATCCATTGGGGTTTCTTGGGAGTGGCAAAACTGTGAATTCATCGTCGTCTTCATCAAAGATTAAGAGACAGAAGCACCATATCAGATGTAATCTTGAGTTCATATAGATTGCAGGGCCAAAGCATTGTCCAAACACGAAGCCCTCTTCGGAAATCAGACCCGAATTCAAGAGCTTCCCCTGTTTCTGCATCCACTCCCAAGATTCAGACCTGAAAATCATAGAGTTCACAGAAATGGAGAGGGGATTCACCTCGTTCCAGAAAAAGCCCACGACTTTGAATTGGGCGTTCTTCCTCGGGTCAAAGGCCAGTGCGACGAATGCGGGTCTGTACACGGAGTTCGAGGGAGGGAGGGCTATGGATTGGTCGGAAACCTGGGAATGTACGATGTAATTCCAAGTCTTTTTGTCGTCCACGGCGCCGTAGAGGATTAACCCGTTGCATGAATCGATCAAGAAGGGGAATTTGTTCGGGGCGGAGGAGTCGACGGTGCAGAGCTCGGCGTTGTGGGGGTAGTGGAGCTTCAAGAAGACCGATTTTTGAGAGATTCCGGCGCCTCGGACCGGAGTCGGTGGCGGGCGGGTGGTGCAGCCGGACTCTGGCAATCAACTGCCACCATGATTTGGAAACGGTCTCCAGCTTCGCTAGGGATTTCAGGGGGACGAAAGAGAAGATGGTTTCGGCGATTTCGTCGCATAGATCTCCGAACTCTGTAGCCGGCGGGATGACGGCCATGGCGACTGCCTCTGCTTCTTTGTCCCTTCCCCTTTCTTGATTTTTTTGGGTTTTTATTTTGAGTCGTTGCCTGTTGGGGAGAATTCTTTTTTATTTTTGAGGGTTCAGAAATATCAAAGAATATGCATCCTTATTATCCTTATTATCCTTATTATATATGTAAAAGAGGGTTACATGCTTGCAGTGTTGACACGTGTAGCTGACATGGAGCCAACATGTAAATTAAATCTGATTTGCACACACTAATGGAATAAAAAATATATCTATTGCTGATTTAATCAGGTCGGTCAAGTATACATTTTAAATGATCCTTATATGATATAACTGTGTTATAGCGTATGCCAAATTGCAATTCCATTGGTGAGTATAAAACATGTATGTTTCATGCTATATCTAACAATGTCGATACAATCACACAAATGAAGACTGAATCTGATCATGCCAAATTGATTTATCCTATGAACTTCAAATGAAATCCAATGTCAAAGGTTGTTATATTGGTGGTGTGATACTCTGATGCTAAGATTGCAAATATAAATTCTTTTGTGTCTGTCTTGAGGAACCAACTGTACGGAATAATTTGAACTTGACAAAATTTTTTGCTTCAATGCTGAAACTTTTGTGCACCAGGTTCACAAATTATGAGTAAGGCAGCCATATTGTTATCTACTGTCCAGAAGAAGCAGCAGCAAAGGCAAAAGGTACCGATGGAAAATGGGGGCATTACAGTCCCTGACACACCCCAACCTAAGTGGGTGTGTTCTTCTTCTTCCAGAACTGACACTCCATATGTAACCGCTGCGCACGACAGGATTGCTCCATCTAGATATTGCACGACTCCCCATCATCGTCAGACACCAAACCACCACAGTGGTGGTGTGCAACCATTCAGCGCTGCTGCTAAACTGGTGCAAGAATACACTTCTTCACCTCCAGGGAGTCCTTCCTCAGAAACCTCAACAACAACACATGATTACACTCCTGATAATGAGTCCATACACGGAAAATCATACCCGAATTCTCCACTTTGTGTCAGTAGCAGCATAACACAGGGTCGATCTAGCTTGCGTTTTCCATGCCTGAGGTTGACAGATGCCTTAGCGATTCATGTAATAAGTTGCCAGTTCCCAAATGTACGCGTTCCCAAAACCTTACAAGGTCCAGCTCCGATTCAAACACCATTTCCCTCCTACCTCCTCAAACTCCCACAAAATGAGCGTTGGATGCCCCTTCAAAGAAAGGAAGAAGAGTTGCCAATAGTCATCCAGAAGACGAGCATTGCTTGAAGCTCCTCAATAAGCATTATCTTCAGTGGCGGTTTGCAAACTCCAGAGCCGCGGGCTCTTTGCATTCTCAATCACAGGCAGCCCAGAGGAAGCTCTATTCCCTTAGATGCCAGATAAAAGACTTGCGCGACAGACTTTGGGAAAAACGTCGCGAGCTGGCCACTGACTGGATTTGAAAAAAAAGAATGCTCCGATTTAGTAAGTACTAGCTAACAACCTACATTTAATGGTATGTAATTAGTAAGTACTTACGGAACCAATGCAAGTGTTTTAGAGTCACTGCAGACATGGGTTGAACTTTTCATATAAAAGGCAGTGTCATTGCAGGTCTTTGTTGAAATTCATGAGGTCCGCAACGATGTAATGGAGAAAAGCTGTCAGGTAAGATTTTTTGAAATTTGTAAAATTTTTTAATTACTTAAATATTTTAAGTTTTTACCTCTAAATGGTTTATGCGTCAATGAATATTGCATTGTGCAGAAATAACACCCCAAAACAAGTAATGACCATGAACTCACCATATATTCCTGCCTTAACTTCTGCATACAAAAAAATGAAAAATCTGAATTCCTAAGACCAATTTGGCTGTCAAATCTGATTTTGGTTTTAGTAAAACCTTATCCTTTTTCATTACATATGGCCCAAACAAGAGTCTGGAAACAAAGATATTAAAGGTGCTGAGTGCAAAAATTACATGCTAAGGAAAACATCCACATTACTTAATTATGTAAATTGGGTTGACAGTAGCTTATACAATGCGTAAATATATGTGGTTTTGATTTTTATGACTCTCTAATTACCACCATTTCATTTTTTAATTACCACCATTTTTTAAAATGGTACATATACATTGGGATGGTGATTTTAAGGGTGAAATATCGTCCATAAAGTAAACAGGATTTGAACATAAATATGTCTTTCACATTAGAATCATGCAGATCTATAGATCAGGAAACATGCAAATATTCACATTTACAAAAGTATTGATGGAATACATTTTATGAATGCAATTTAAGGATGTCAGGTTTATCCCAGTATTAAACTTCTATCAATTACATTTCAGTTCGAAAAATTCAGTGTTCAACAGAAATGGTGGGTTTAGTACTATAGTTGGAAGAACCTGTGCAAGTCTTTATAGAAAGTGATGCCACCATAAAACTTTAGACAAGTATCTTTAAAAGGGAAATGACGTGGAGTGTTGACAAATGTCAGCTTTGGTGGACAATGATGTCGAGTCTTTAAACACTATTCCATCATTAAAACATCTACTTAATCACCTATTTTTATAAAACGTATTCCACATTTTAATTATCATGAAGACACAAATGAGGTTTAAAGTTACAAGCCACTGTCTGCTTTAAGGTTTTTCTCTGTCTTTCAAACCAAAATACTGGATACTCCATTAAAATAATATAATGCCATATACTCCCTGGCACTTACATTAACCAAACAAACCTTTAAATTCCAATTACTTATTTCAGGTTACCATACCAAAAGGCTTCACGAAATATTATGTTGGCAATAAAGCTTATTAAATAAGAAATTTACTATGTGACAACCATATTAATTGCTATACTTTAAATCATAATAACTTCACATTTCAATGCAGATCCAGGAAATGGAAGACCAATAGCCACACAAAATATCTTCATTTCTACCTTCTACAAACTACACATGGAGAGGAATGAAGTAATTCAGGAATGGAGAGCATCTTGCAAACAAGCCCACAAACGAAGAAGACTAATTCTTGATGAAAAAAGAAACAAATCTACACAATTGACACCATCAGCCACAACAACCAGGATACAACACCACAGTACTATCTCAAAATTAATGATGTATAAACCTCCATCTATTCGCAATGTGAAACAATAATATTTCATCATCTTGCAGGTTCTATAAGAAGACTTGAGCCAAAACCCCAGCCTACTGTACACCAAGGTACCTACAAATACTCTACATATAACACATTAAACTTTACAAACAATATATATATATATATATATATGTATGTATGTATGTATGTATGTATGTATGTATGTATATAATAAAAGGAGATACTTTATTACCCAAAACATGAAAAGAGTACACGAATATATATATATATATATATATATATATATATATATATATATATATATATATATCTGTGTGTGTGTGTGTGTGTGTTCATTATAACATGTTACCTACCCTTGAAATTTAAAGCACACAACTAATTCACATGCAAATGACACTGACAGGACAGGAATTAAAATATATGCATTTGGGCAACGCGGAAGAGCAGTGCCAATTTTGCCAGTCCATGATGTGGATGGAAGAGCGCAACAATGCTGGTGTAAGAAACAGAGCCCCAACTTTTTCTTTGTGTTGCATGGAAGGACGAATTAAACTACCTGCCTTAAAGGAAACCCCAGAATATCTGAAAGAGCTATTGAACTATACCGGAGGCAGGCGATCCACATGTTTCAAACAAAACATCCGTGCTTACAATTCAATCTTCGCATTCACTTCTATTGGGGCTGAGATTGATTACGAAATAAATAAAACACCAGGGCCATATGTTTTCCGAATAAGCGGAGAGAACTACCACCACATTGGGACCCTACGCCCACAACCAGGTAAAAGGCACAGGTTTCTACAACTGTACATGTATGACAACACAATTTCAGAAGTGTCCCGTAGAATAACTTCCCTCACAAACGACGAGGCAACATCCAAGCTAGACACATCTATTGTAGAGGGTCTACTTAAAATGCTAGACAAGGAAAATTGCCTTGCAAAGGTCTTTCGCATGGCACGAGATAGAATTAAGGATGATGGGAATTTAGATTTAGTGGTACATTTACTCTCAGAACGGGCACCAAAACAAAAGCAGTATAATGCCCCAACAGCCTCAGAAGTAGCAGCTTTAATAGTTGGTGATTTCCAACAATCAACAGAGGGGAGAGATATTTTTGTCGAGCATAAAAACCAAGGCCTCCAAAACATCAGTGAAAGGCACCCATCTTTCATGGCACTCCAATATCCTCTGCTTTTCCCGCATGGCGAAGATGGATACCACGACAAAATCCTCTACTCAACAACCTCGAGGATGCAAATCACAAGGCCACACGTGACAATGCGAGAATTCTACGCTTATCGATTGCAACAACGAACCACAGAGGGAATAACCCATTTACTGGGAGGTAGACTACTCCAACAATATATTGTGGATTCATACACTGCAGTTGAGACGCAAAGACTACGGTACATACGAAGCAAACAAGACAAATTCAGAACTGATATATATCGTAACATCTGTGATGCCATTAACCAAGGAGACACAAAAGGGGCATCTGTAGGGAAAAGAACAGTGCTCCCAGCATCATTCACAGGAGGCCCTCGCTATATGTTCCAAAATTATCAGGACGCAATGGCCATTTGCAGAAAATTCGGCAATCCTGATTTATTCATAACATTCACTGCCAACTCTAAATGGCCAGAAATATTACATATTCTGGAAGCTATTCCAGGCCAACGCCCCGAAGACCGTCCAGATATCATTTCCCGAGTCTTCAACATGAAATTGAAGCAACTAATGACAGTTCTCACAAAAAAAAAACACTTCGGCAAGACAATGGCAGGTACGTACTCACAATCAATAAACCATTACGGCATATATCAAACCAAAGAGTACATGCACACCTCACCACCATAAATATACTTATATCCTACATTTACTGTCAATACCATTTCAGATATTGCCACTATAGAGTTTCAAAAACGCGGCCTACCACATGCACACATCCTTTTATGGCTCGAGAAATTGGAATGTCATACAAACCCAGCATACATAAATAGGATC